CAGTGATCTTAAGGAAGATCTGCTGCTTTTGTCACTCGATTTCCTCCCCTGGTCCGAGGCCACAGGTCTTGTGACGAAGCACAGTGAGGGGCGTGAAAATCAGGGGTAAGATGACGTGTCTCCTGGGTTCGCCGAACTGCAACACGCGCACATCATAAGGCCTCGCACGGATGAGGGAGTGTTTCACAGATCCGGGGAGAAGAAAGAAAAAGAATCGCACAGATCTTCCAGGCTTTTGAAAGCCAGGGAGAATCTGTTGGTCACGGCCAACACATCCTCAGCAAAGACGAGGATGATGCACAGCAAGTACAGCCAACCCTAACGCAGCAGGAGGAAAAGACAGGCCTGCCCAGTTCAGCTCACATGCAGGCCTTAGCTGAGACCTGCAGACACATTCCTGTGAAACTTCAAATCGCACCAATATCGCATCAGCTCTCTCCATGTGTGCGGAGCTCTGTGTTCTTGCATCTACAGCTCAGTACCGCATCGGTATCTGCCACTGTAGTGATGAAGACTAAACCCTTGTGATGATGCACTTAATTGAGCTCCCACCTTTCCAAATCAACGCAGACAGAGATCTAGTGGTTCGGCATCGATCATCCCACCCCAGGGGTTCTCGATCCTGGTCCGGGTGCCCTCACACTTGTTAGTCTTCATTCCAGCTCCCCTTCATTAGATAATCGAAGCCTTAATTGAACTAAGCAGTTGCTTTATTGTATCCACTCACAATCTAGGGAATTTATTTCACTTAAATTTCAGGTTAAAGCTCCAATAGGTGGAAGAGCTGAGAGCAAACAGCTCAAATTGATCTTATTCCTCTGAAGTCAAAGCAGGTTTTGACTCGGCTGGGATGAACCCCAGCAGGTGTGTCGGGGTCACCAGCACTGGGAACCCCAAGTCTAGTCCGTCACCCATCCTCTGTGCGCCCCCTTCCTTTCAGACCTCGGAGGAGGTGGCAGAGAAGATGATGGGGCTCCAGGTTCCCATGTTCCGGAATTCCAGCGACACCTACATCCCTGACGACATGCAGAAGCTGCCCAAGGCCATCGACTACCGAAAGTTGGGCTACGTCACCCCGGTCCGGAACCAGGTACAGCCGAGGAAGCCGGGGATCAGAACCGTTTCAGAACGTAGGCTTAACTGGGCCAATTCGACAGTTTCTCCTAGCTGAGACATCCTGCAGACACAGCGCCCCCTCCAGGGCGGGTGTTATACTGCCATGGGGTAGGTCATACCAGAGGTGAAAGAGTTAGAAAGTTAATAGGGTGCCAACTCACAAGAAAAATGAGCATCCTTATACGTAAACACTCTCTACATTTTTGTTTCCGATCTCCCCGTTATTATAACAGCCTTGTTTAAGGTCGCAGTGATCAGTGATTTTGTTATTATGGGGGCAGCATTATTAGCATTGCTGCCTCGCCCTGGGTTCAACTCCAGACCTCGGCTGCTATCTGTGTGGAGTTTGCACGTTCTTCCCGAGTTCGCCTGGGTTTCCTCCAGATGCTCCGATTTCCTCCCACAGTTCAAAGACCGTGCTGGTGGGTTAATTGGCTTCAGTGAAAAATTGGCCCTGGCGTGAGTGAGTCTGTGTCTGCCCTACGGTGGACTGGTGTCCCGCCCAGGGTGTACCCCCCCTTGTGCCTGCTGCTTGCCAACACAGGGGGGCTCCCCCGTGACCCTGAATTGGAAGTAGAGGTCAGAAAATGGATGTCTGCTGTTTATGACAGAAAAGCACTGAACCGTGTAGCGTGCTGAGAACAGAACTCCCCCGCCCTCTAGTGGCGATCCAGGGAACTGATAAGAGTAGCGCCCTCCTTGAGCACCAATTTAAAAAGACGGAAGTGGAAAATCAGGAGGTTTCAAGCCATTCAGACCTTTGCGTGATCCCAGCAAGCCAGTGGGGAGTTATGGGTGAGTGCATGACTCTCACCCGCTCTCCCTGTGCCCTGCAGGGCTCCTGCGGCTCCTGCTGGGCGTTCAGCTCGGCCGGGGCGCTGGAGGGCCAGCTCAAGAAGACCACCGGCCAGCTGGTCAGCCTCAGCCCGCAGAACCTGGTGGACTGCGTGAAGGAAAACGACGGCTGCGGCGGGGGCTACATGACCAACGCCTTCAAGTACGTCATGACCAACCGCGGCATCGACTCCGAGGAGTCCTACCCTTACGTGGGAGAGGTGAGCCCCGCCCGCCGGCCGGAAGACCGAGACCGCCGAAAATGCACGACGCACTTCCGGTTAAAGCCCACCCAGCAAGGGTGGCTGTCAAAAAAAAAAAAAAGGAGCAGAATCAGAGGGGGTGAAAATAACTGTCACAGTAAAAACATACAGTACTGAAAGGGAATCGCCCAGAGAAAGCCCTCAACAATCCTGAAAAGCACCAAGTCAATCTCAAATGGTCTCTCCTCTGAAGTCATCTCTGGGACCTGGGGCCACATGAATCTAAAGACAAGAGCATTTAAGATTGAGAACAGGAGATGTCTTTACACAGAGGGTTGTGGGAGCATGGGACAAGCAGCCCCACTCAAGCGATTGAAGCAGGTGTTCTCTGATGATTCAAGGAATGGCTCGATGTGACCGCTTGACGGTTTTGTTTGCATTTATAAAGCACATTTCATCCCAAAGAGCCTTGCACTGAGGTGAGACACCGCTGATGTGGTGACCCAGGTGGCGCAGGGCAGCCATTCGTCTCCAGGTGGCGCAGGTGGCAGGGGCCAACCCGGAAGGAGGGGAGTCACTGGGTGGCAGTTGCCAGCTTTAAATATGACTTCGCCACCCCAGCTGGGTCTCTGTAGATCTTTCCCAGCATGCTCAGGGAGAACTGCGTCTCAGCTCCGCTGCGCCCCCGGTGTCCAGCAGGGGTCACCGGCAGGACCCTCTTCAGCAGTCCGTCCCATTTCAGAGGGCAAATAATGTCATTTAAAAATCCCCCCCTCCCTCCGCCATAGCAGTCCCTGCCACCCCTCTGCCACCCCAGATATAAAATCCAGACTTTGCTACTGGCAGGTGAAGCACAGCAGCCATTCTGCTGCAGCAGCCCTGCTACAACCACAGCTCAGGAAGAACAAGAAATTGCTTCAATTGCTTTGGGTACGTTAGGGAGGTCAGGTTGTCCAGAAGTCAGGACACTCCTATTCTTACAATGACTAAGTAGTGGGGACCGCAGGACGTAGTCTTATCTGCAAGTCGGTACCTCTGATAGGTCAGTATCCCAGGTCACCATACAGGTATCATGGTCATTCTGGCTCAGAGGCAAGAGCGCCACCTACTGGCCCAGCAACACCATTTACGGCAGCTGGTTTTCCCTGGACCTCTCCCACCTCAGTGCTGGCCAGGCCTGGCCGTGCTGAGCTCCTAAAAAGCTATCGAGGCCCGGGTACGAGGCGGCAGCGCCCCCTCTCTGGCTCGGTCAGGTGCTGTCCATGCAGGAATAACCCCCAGATCTCCACTCCCGCGGCAGGACCAGCAGTGTGCCTACAACAAGACGGGCCGGGCCACTGGCTGCAAGGGCTACAAGGTGATCCCCGAGGGCAGCGAAAAGGCGCTGCAGGCCGCCGTGGCCAAGATAGGCCCGGTGTCCGTGGGCATCGACGCCACCCTCTACAGCTTCCAGTTCTACAAGAGGGGTGAGTCCGCGAGGCCGCTGGGCACGGCTGGGGGAGGCGCCCACGAGCGGCGGCCGTCAGTCTCGCTACAGCCCTGGAATAAAAGCCTGCCTGATTTACTCCAAGTCTAAATTTAAGTCCGTCTTAGTCTAAGTTTAAATCTAAGTCTTAGTCTTAGTCTTTGTTCTAGTCTTGTTCTAGAAAGATGGGGGAATGTGCCGCCATCTCCAAGACAGGGCGGGACCTGATCGGCTCTGCCGTGTGTGTGTGTATTTTTATTCCCAGGAGTGTACTACGACCGCAACTGCAACAAGGACGACATCAACCACGCCGTCCTGGCGGTGGGCTACGGCGCCACGCCCAAGGGCAAGAAGTACTGGATCATCAAGAACAGGTGGGCCAGCCGACCCGCTCAGTGCCCCACACGGGCTGTTCTCAAACCCGGGGCAAACGACTTCCAGCCCGGGCAGAGAGCAAGGTTTTATAGGCGTAGAAAATACTCGGAACACCAAACCCCCCCCCCTTTTCACTCCCTCCTCTCTTTCTTTCTGCCGCAGCTGGGGTGAGGACTGGGGCCACAAGGGCTACATCCTGATGGCGCGGAACCGGAACAACTTCTGCGGCATCGCCAGCCTCGCCAGCGTCCCCGTCATGTAACCGGAGAGAGCGAGCGGGTGGAGGGGAGGGGAGGGGAGAGCCGCCGGCGCTCTGACTGACAACACCGCAGCCCCGCTCCCCCACACGCCTCTACGAGCCAGAAACAGAGCCTCGGCGCCTCTTCCACCATAACCTGCACCCCCATTTTTTCTATAAATCCGTGGTTTCCTACTTCCTCCTCAGAGCCCGCCTCCCTTCCCCGTTTCCGATCCGTAATTCTTAAAGCGCACCACTCCGGTTTTAACAGAGAGAACGCCAATCACCGCCCACTTCGGACAGCCTGCAAACCAGGATTTCTCCCCCGGCACCGGCACTTGGCCGGTGACCTTGCAGGCGCGTCCGTGCCAACCCATGTTTGTACCTCTCCCTCCTTCAGCGTGTTGCACTCGTACTGTACGCATGATGGATTTCGCGTCACGGTTGGCGGATTTAATACAACGCCGAACTGGGGAGGTTTTTATTGTTGTTTTCCAATATTGGAGCGCAGGACCGGAGTCCAGCACATCCTCCTTCAGCCCCCATCCGATGATGGAGAAGAACCCAGTGCAAAGTTTACACCGCCTTTTCCTTTGGGAATATAGTGGGAGCTGGGTGCTGGAAAAACAATAAGACGGGAGGAGAACAGACTCCCAGGTGTTTCCACGCGAGAACATGTCTGGGTGTTTGTCTCTTTCTCCCCAGGTAGCTCATAAAATCAGGGGATAGCCCTGCATCTGAAACTGCACAGCTCCAGCCACACAGCTCTGTTTGAAACGGTGGAGGCTCCTGTGTTCCAGTTTTCAAACCCCACTGGTTCAGCATCACAGGTCAGGAGGGTGGAGAAGCAGGGTGTGTGAGTTTGAAATGTTGCCCTGTTTACTCAGCCATGTATTGAAACAGCAACGTACTGGTAACCATTTGGCGTTGAAATAAAATAACTCATAATCATTTTTTTGTGTGCCACCTGTTATTCTAACTGAGAAGACGGAAGCCCACTGGCTGAAAGTTAACCACCGCACCCCCAGTCAGAAAAAGAAGCTCTCCCAGTTGAAAGGCAGTGTGTGACCAGAACACTCCCCCCCCCAGATCGTACTCCCAGATCATGAAGTTTATTCCCCACTCAGTGAAGCTTAAAATCACAGGAAACACAGGAGAAGAAATATGAGATTAACCTGCAAATATTTCAGACCCTTGTGGACTGTCGCATAACACATCCTCCTAGAGACGGCCCAAGGCCTGGCCAAGCTATTTTTGCCACAAGAGAGGATCGACAAGCTCCTCAGTGGGGGGTTTCTAATATATTGGCCATGGGGTGGGTATGTAGATCTAGAAATGAGCATACTGAGAGATAGAAATCCATTGCACCTACTGTATACACAATATACTTCCGATGTGTCCTTTATGCACAGAATTTCAGCTATCGTCCACCAGGGGTCCCAGAAGCCCAACAGACCTTAAAAACTGCTCAGGGCATCCCCATAAAAAACGGCAAAACGTTTCGGTCCCCCACGTGTAAAAAGAACATCCTTACGAGACGGACCTGCTGTAACAGCCTTGGCTCTGGATGTGTGAATGTGCAGTTTGGTGTTTCGTATTTCATTCCTCAATTTCACATGATAATTTTGTTTCATTTCATCTTTAAATCACAAGAGTTCGTATTGAGTCACATGCAATTCTTCCTAAACCTCATCTGACAGTATTCTAAGCTTTCAGTCTTGTACCTGTTATAGGTCCCATCCCGTCACAGGGAAAAAACTAGACAGTGCCAAACATACACACACAGGCTCCCACCCACATCACAGCTATCAGTTTTGATCAAATGTGGCTGGTAATTTCTAACACATGAGTGGCAAATCTCATGATCATGTGAGAGGAGAAAAGCAGCATGACGCATTTCTGTCTAGAATGCAGTTAGGGTTACTGACTGCTCGTACCCACCATGCCATCTGCAGAATTCATTTCGGAGTCGCCAATGAGTCCTGCACTGCTATCGTTTGCCATTGTCCCCAGCTCTTTCCTCGTGTTTCCGCCTCTACTTTCTCATCTTTATCATCAACAATCAGAAGCTTTGCTTCTTCCCGAAGCTGAGCGGTGAACTGTGACACCTGCTGCTGCCATTACTGTGCATTGGCCAAGACCGATGCCATCTCCAGCTCCCGATTTAAAAACTCCTATGAATTTCATAGGAGTGATTCCTATGAGGAGATTACTCCTTGGCAAAGCTGGGCTCCGGTGCACGGAAGAAAAAAAGCAGTGGAGTGGAAGAATGAGGAAAGAGAGATAACGTTTCATCAGTGTCTCCTTTTCTGTAGTTTCCCAGCAGCTGTTACAGTAAGTAGGAAGTTCTCCGTTTACACAAACGCATGGGAAAAACCAGCCAGGCAGCACCGCTCTGACTCTCTGTCCTTCGCTCACCACAGGGCCAGCTGCACCCCAGAGCCTCGCAGGCTGAAGCGACATGCACATGACACAAAAAGGAAAGAGAAAAGAGAAGAAAAACAGTTTGATACAGGAAGCAACACTTCCTCTTACAAGCCTCTCGGAGAGTGCTACGAGCTG